CATGTATGCATGCATCTATCATCTATCCATCCATCCATCCATCCATCCATCCATCCATCCATCCATCCATCCATCCATACATACATACATACATACGTATGTTGTATGTATGTACTGTATGTATGTATATACTGTATGTGTGTGTGTGTGGACATGGATATAAATATAAAAAATAAATAAAAATTAAAAAGGCCAGGCCTCCATGTCTATACACACACACACACACACACACAAACGTCTGCCTTGACTGCGAATGTATGTCAGGAGCTGAGCTTAAGGCAAAGGCACTCTGCACATGCTCTTCTGGTACTCTCGACCTCTTTTGAGGCTCGCTTTCAAAATAAGCCCGAGGGTTTTAACCCTAATGCGCTTGGGCCCTGATCACTCTGGAGCAAATCAAGCAGGAAAAACGACCCAGCCCAGGCGCCGCCATCGTTGCCCCCCCTGCCCCGCCCCGCCCGCGCCCCTTCTTTTCGCCCCGCGGAAGGATACAGCATGAGCAGCCGCAGCTCCCGCTCCTTCTGCCGCATCTTCTTCAGGATGCTGAGCAGCCCCATCACGCGGAAGACCGACCCGCCTCCTCCGCCCGGCCACCGGCCGGGACTCTTTGGCTCCGCCTACACCGGTAGGCAAACCGGTTCCGCCAATCAGGAATGCCGTGGGCTCTTGCAGCCCTAAGAGGTACAGCTCTTTCTCAATAGGGCGCTTCAGAACTCTTAGTTCCCAAGCGACGCGCCATCTGCGGGGTCAAGGGACCAAAAAAATAAATAAACATAACACGTTTTTGCAGTTCTTTAAGAACCACAGAGCAGAATATTGGGCTCATCTTCAATGTACGCAATGGTGTGAAATTATACTGATTTCCATATTTTCTTCTTGCCTCGCCGGGGAGGTGATTTTTCCCACTGCCTGCATGGAACCTGACGTAAGGATAGAAAGCGACACAGACCGCACCTCTTATTGTTTCCGCTGTCATTCAGCGCCGAGTCCCCTCCTCCTGGGAGGAGAAGACCAACGAGGCTTAGAGGGGGACCTAGCATTTGCAGCCTAGAGTTGTAAAATAGTAGAGGCGAGACTCAACGGTCGTATTCCGAGCCCTATACAGCTCTTTCTTTCTCCTAGCCTCAGCGTGCACCGAAAAGTGGAGGGAGAATTGCTCATAGCCGTCAATTAAAAAAAAAAGAATAGCCATGCAAAGAGATGCGATGCCGTTTTTTCCCCCCCTAAATTCTACTTCCTGTTTCGTGGAGGAGGAGAAATAATATTCCGAGGGACTCCGGGTTATTTAAACTATATGCGAGGCGAGTCATGACATGAGATAACCTATGCATGCGGCAGTATCTTCAGGGCTTCCCCATCCTGATTTGTGTTTTTATTTATCATACTTACAGACTGCATGACAAGATGCGGGGTGTGGGTGCAGTGGAGGGAATGAGAGAACTAGGACTCTGGAGTGCTGGGTTCGAATCTCCACTCGGGCGGTGGGAGTGGAGAAGGGGGAGGCTTTCCCTCCAGCCTGGGAACGGATCTGCCTCCGGCTGCAAGGTCCGTGGGGAGACCCCGAGGTGGGGGCAGACCCCATCGGAGAAGGCCAGGGATCCCCCTCAGACCCTCTTATTTTTGGAGGGGGGGAGGTTGAAGCTAGAGAGAGGGAGAGGGTGGAGGAAGGCGCCCCCCCGAGCCCCTCTTGCCCTGGACGGGGGGGGCACAGCGTGCAAGGAATGGACCCCCCCGTCAGACCCCTGGAGTCCCACCGATGGAGATTCGTTGCAGAAGATCGGGAGCCCCGTCGGAGGAAGGAGGCGGGGAGGCTTGGTAGCCGTTCAGGGACAAGGGTGTTTCTCGGTGGGCACAAAAAATACATGTTGCACAGTTGTCAATGC